TATTTTTCATCTCCGAGAAGGTGCTACACCTCGGGTAAAAACTTTATAGAACAAAACTTTTGTGCTATACTATTCAACTTATTCGAGAGTGGAACCAACAATTTTTCAACACGAAAACCCACGTTTTCAGACGATTTTCATGAACAACTCTGTAAATAAGTATTTTATAAAAAAACATTGGCAGTAAAATTGTAGATAATAAAAAAACACTGAGTTAGAAATATCCATATTTCAGACTAAGTGTTTTTTTGGTAATTTAATATCACTAGATTTTTATTTATTTTTTATAGATAGGTCCGACAAATGACTTCACCCCACCTGATGTTAAGTGAAGGTGAAGTCCAGACGCGAAGATAGCTGATACAGCAATTCTACCTGCCACACCTGCCATCCTCACCCTGCCGGCCTGCATGTTGCTTCTTCACGCCTCTTTTAAAGGATCCCAGGTTTAAGAGGGAGGGAGTATTCCATTTACGGATAGTGCGACAAAAAAATGAGTCACCAAAATTTCTTTGTACGCGTTGGAATTGTGGCCACAGTAAGACGGTGACAACGTAGGCCAGCGCGCGTGGTCCTCTGAAGGAAAGGGGAAGGTGGAATAATAGAGAATAACTCTTTAGAACACTCGCTGTGGTACAGGCGATGGAACGAGCTTAATGACGTCACGTCACGGCGTAATTGAAGAGGCTCGAGGTGTTTAGTCACTTCCTCATCGCGCGCGCGCCACTGTAACCTATCCAAAGCATCGAGCAAGTACTTGGCGGAGCCATCCCAGAGGTGCGAGCAATGTTCCACGCAAAACCGCGTCTCATTCAACAAGCACAGTTGCTCGGGCGTAAAAAAACGCCGCACCTTGTTCAGGACTCCGAGTTTGCGATCACACTTTCGATGTAATTCTTTGGATTTATGTCACAGCAAATCTTCATACCGACCATGGTGATACTGCTCTCTAGCTCAAGTGTTGTGTCCTGAAGAGAAGGACATGAAAGGAATGGCGATGTTTTTGCCGTGAAAGCGCAGACCTGGGTTTTCTTAGCAATGAACACAACGAAATTCTCAGATTAAAAAGTAACGGAATAAAAACTTTTTAAAGGTTGGTTCTTCTTAATCAAACGCCAAAATCGAAAGTTTCAACTTCAAATATCCAAAAAATAATTCATTCAATTTCCCAGTCCTATAACTTTTTTTGATGTGCTTAACCGTTTTTTAAATATATTATGGAAGTCCCTAGTCTAAAAATTAAGTGATTTAAATGATGATAAAGATAATATTGGTCCCTATTTTTTATGCGACAAAAACATTTAAAAAAACACCCCTAATTACCATCACAATTGAAAATGATCGTCACCACCTAATAATTTACTTAATTTATATGCTTGTGATATGCCTATTCTTCATTTATTGGTATAAGTTTGACCGTTTTAAATTGGTTGGTTTTGAAAAAAAAATGGCAAAGTGCGAGTCGGACTGGCGCACGAAGGGTTCCGTACTATAAAAACCACGAAAGGGAAAATCATTTGTTTGTTTTCGTCACAACTTACAAAGTACATTACATTATGAATCGATGGAAAGTGACTTCATGAGTTATCTCATCATCATCATCATCAGCCTATTAATGCCCCCAATGCTGGGGCACAGGCCTTCCCTATGGATGGAATAGGGAGATTGGGCCATGACCCACCACGCGGGCCCAGTGCAGATTGGTGGGTGCTAACGACTGCAGATGCAGCCGGGACCAACGGCTTAACGTGCCTTCCGAAGCACGGAGGAGCTCGAGATAATAATTTTTGGTCACCCATCCAATGACCGACCACTGCGAAAGTTGCTTAAGTTCAACAATCGCAGCCGAACGCGCTAACCACTTGCGCCATCGAGCTCCTATGAGTTATCTCATATTGAAATCATTTTTCAATTTGACGACTCTGTATATAATACAGGGAGAAAAAACAGCCCTTGCTGAGTTTCTTGCCGGTTCTTCTCAGTACAAGGTCTCCCGCCGTAGATTTGCGAACCGATGGCGTAGCTTTTCGACATTCACAAGTGCTTGTAACAGCCTAGACTGAATAAACGATATTGAATTTTATATTTTTTTTGTTCGTTGACAGGTTTTTCCGTTATTTCTGTGCATGGACTGGACAAATATTTTAACAAATAGGGCAATGAATTGTTCGGTACTTACTTGTATCAAAACTTTATGCATCTACAAACTTTATCGTCTTCATAAGAAAGCTTAATCTTTGTTAGAGTAAAGAAGAAGAGATAATCTTCTCAGGCAGCCAGCTTATCTTGTGAATTGAAATGTTTGCTTGGCTAGCGGATTAACGGCTGGCTGAAGTACGTCAGTTAGCTTAACCTTCACTATATATTAAAAGAAAACTTAGGTACCTACTTACATAAATACCATTATCGCATCTTTGAACTGATATCATTGACAATTGCTCGTCCGATTTGATTTGTATTTCTGTCCGTCTGTAATTTCTACAAATAAATATTTTACCTATGTCCGTTACAGACTTTGAAACCATCATTAAATAAATAAATAATAAATATTTCCAACACACACACCAATTAGCCTAGCCCCAAAGTAAGCACTGTAAAGCTTGTGTTATGGGATACTAGGGTAACGGATAGAATACATATACAGTGCATATATAAGTATTTTTATAGAAACACATATTAAACACCCATGACTGGAATACGAATGCTCGAATTCATCACACAAACATCTGCCCCCACCGGGATTCGAACCCTGGACCTCTCGAGTCGGCGACAACCTGAAACCTGGCGTATAAACCACTCGGCCACGGAGGTCGTCAATATATAATAACATTAGTCTCTCCTTTTCACTCTGTATAGAGAATGACAAAGATACACTATATTTAAGTTTAGGTTTAGAGAATAATGCCGAAACGACACCAATTACCAACGACGGTTTTGTTCATAATAGTGTATATGAATGGAAATAGGTATTGTTCACGGTATGTAAAAACCGGAGAAATTCAACTACGAAAATTAAATCGCGATAATTGGAACAATTTTTGATTTTAATGTTAGTTAAAAGAAAATAACAGTAAACGACATAGGTATTATTATTCGATTATCGTATTATATTTTTGCGGAGTGTACCTACAGAACACGCGATTCACACGTGTTTTGTACTTCATTGGGCGATTATGGCTAGGCTAGGAATAAACGGATCAATCGCGCGTGTGAATCGAATTAAATTTTATTGCGATTTAAGTACACGCGCGATTGATCAGTGCCTAAGTATTTAATCTAAGTATTTTAGTAGACGTCAACAAAGGTGTAACTTTATTATGTTTCTCAAAAATGTAGGTACTTATGAATCAGTATCCATTAGTATTTATGCCACTTTCGGGATAATACCTTTAACGACGATATACCTACTTTATGTACTTAGGTAAAGGTTGTCTGGTACAGATTACTACCTTAGCAATAAGGCCGCCTTTTGTGTTTGCTTTCCTGGTTTTTATGTATTACTAGCTGTGCCCCGCGGTGTTACCCGCAGTTTATTTATTTTATTTTTATTTATTTATTTATTTGAAAATCAACGGCGTTTACAAAAGTATTTAAGTATAGTGTAAACCAACAGTAAGGAAGGCTATTTACAGATTTTCCATAAATTAATTTACAGTATATTGTGTTTACGGTCAGAAACATTCAACTGCCTTAAGCTAGGTGAAATCCATACTAATGGAAACAATACTGAAAGCAATTCTATTTCAGCTTCTATAACTCAACAAAATGCCTTCCAAACGATATGGGTATGGTATATCTATGAAAACAAATGTTTACAGTGAATTGGCCACGAAATGCTAACCATTTTACTATATTATATCCCGCCCTGCATAACTGCACACAACCACCTAAAGTGTTTTCAAGATTTAAAATCAAATCGTGCTACTAAGTAAAAAATAAAAATAAAAATTACATAATGATAATCATTCAAGAACAAATATAAAATAATAAGACAGATATTTTATGCATAAACAACCACGTACCAATGCTATAAGGTATATTTTCTCGGAGTAAAACGTAGCCTATGTGTTAATCCAGGGCGTTAGCTAACTCCATACCAAATTTTATTAAAATCGCTTCAGCCGTTTAGACGTGAAGAAGTAACAAACATACACACTCACATACTCACACTCACAAACTTTCGCCTTTATAATATTAGTGTGATGTATTTATGTTATAGTGCAATAAAGAATATTCATTCAATTAAACCTACTAAGTGGGTAACTAACTAAGTAAATATTTTAAGAAAATTTGAAGAAAAATACGTAGATATACTGGCTATTCCAAAGTCAACTGGCAGCTACAAAAAAAAACATGTGTATAAATTCTAAAGTCGGATAAGTTTTTCAAATTATAATTTGGATAGGAATGGACATTAAAAGCGACATCTGCATAATAACTACAAAAATAAGGATATTTATTTAGCTGCAGCATGCCCGCAGAAAGCGTTCATATAATGCTTTTTATACAACACGGTTCTTAATAACGCCTGTAGATGGCAGCTTAAGTGTGCTTTCTTTTCTTTATATACCAGTAGATGGCGCTCCAAGTTAAATTTACTGCATTTTAATAAAAAAAGACCAAATTATTAATTCGTTTAAAGTAAAAAAGATAATAACATTGAATACAAAATAAAAACTTTCAAATTGTTTTGAAATAAAATAAAATGAATTTAATTTTACAGAAACACAAATAACAAGAAAAAAAACGATAAACATTATACATTTGGTAAAGTTTAGATTTCTTATATACCTACTTTCTTTCTGGCTACTATATATTCATACATGTATACAACAATAGAGCGCATACAACACGTGTATTTTGAGCGCAACAAACTTTGTAAACGCACCGGTTCAATCAAAGTATCAAACAGTCTACGCGCGCATGCGCTATACGCTTGACGTTAGTTGCGTAGGTACTATTTTTGTTGTTTCATGACGATCCGATATCGTGTTTTCATTCAGTGAGCCGTGTTTTTCAGTTAATTTATAGATTTATATGAACTTAAAATGGAGAGAAATGAACGAAAATCAAATTCTCGCAATCCTTTCCCCGTCAAATTTGATCGTGAAACTCAGTTTATTTTGCGTAAATTAATTACTGATTCAACTATACTATTTTGCAGTAAGTATTCTTTTAGATTTTAACTTAAATTATGATTTTTGTCCTATTTAATGTACCTACCTTAATGTGTTCATTTATTATCCGATGAGGTTTTTATTCATTGATACCAAAGCGACTGTTATTATAATTACTTACAAGTAAATTTTTTGCACGTTACCTACTAAAAATGATATTTTATTTATAGGTAATTCGTATCATAATAATATAATTCAACCATTCTCAATAATTAATTTAAAATAATATTTATATCTTTTCTAAAATTAACTGATTCTGGTAACAATAATACTCAGCCTTTTGCATTTTGTGGCACTTTGTAATTACAAGTTGTCTTATTTAATATTTATGTGTCAGTGTCAAAAAAATTGGTCTAAAATGACTAGAGGTGACAACGCAATTGAAACAAGTATTCATATTAAAATTACCTTCTCTGTGTAATTCTGTTGAAATTAAAATACCCATGACTATGTCAGGTCTCAAACTTTATTTTAAAATATTTAACTGCTGTGGTGAAACTGAAAACAGGACAGAAAAAATATTTTATTGTTCCCCAGGGCATGCATTATGAAATTCCCTATAGATTATCATTATGTACATTAAAGTTTTAGGACACTGTATTATAATCATTAACAGACACCAAAATCCTTAATATCATAATAATTAACTTCCTTAATATAAGATGAAAAAATTTATTATCTCGATTTACCCCATCCTTCATAATCATAAGACATATTAAACCATTTGCTGTGGTTGTGTATGCAGTCGTTAGTACCCGTCAATCTACACTGGGACTGCATTGACCATTATAGTTTGCTGTCTTAATTTTTTTTAATATTCCCATAATGACACTATATCGACAATGGAAAAGCAAAATTGCTGATAAGTACTCCACTTTGGTGCTGCTTAAAATTAACATTAAATAACAACTAAAATTAAGTTCATTTTTGAGTAGCACCAAAGCATATAAGCGATCGTGCTTTTCCACTGTCGATATGTACAACATAAGAAAATAGCAACATTAACCTTTTTCTATCATCAAAGGTGACAAGTATTGCATCAAGCACATTGTCATTCTATCAGTATAAAAAATAACTATCTACACTTATTCTAATTAGGAACCTACTTATCTACACTTGTGCCAAGTCGTGGCAAGAGTGTTTGTAAACACACCAGCATGCTTTAAATTTAATCTTTTATGTTTTCTGTACCCTGTTTATGGTAATGTTTATAAATCTTGAACTTTAATAGCTGAAGGATTTTGTCAGGTGTTGATTCTTTTAAAAAAAATACTTTTAACTTAATAGTTAAAAGTAAGTTTTTTAAATTTGCTTATAAACACGGCTTAATAATTTAAGCCGTGTTTATAAGCAAATTTAAAAAACTTACTATTGGGTCATTCCGTATAATGAATGTTACAGGTCGCACTCATATATACAAACGGTGCAAAAAATCTTGTAAAAATACAGCATGTGAAAATTTCAACTGTAACTATTTCCGTTCATGAGATAAAACAGACAGAAAACTGTTACAGTAAATGGTAATGATTTCGGTTTCATTGTCATCATATGGGTACCATTTATAGGGATTGGCAATATCCAACTAACATCCTGTAACGTCAACAAATAGTTAACACATAGCTGCTAATATTAACATTCACAGCATTTATCACTCCATAAAACATCAGTCACGATTGTAATAAAAGTTTTCTATATTTTTACCATATCACCGCATAGCTTATCAACATTTTGCATTATATGTGTGACTTAATGCTTATTATTAGGCATTGCAATATCATGATAAGCACAGTTTAACATTATAGAATCCATTTCACACTGTAATCCAATTCAATAATAATGCAACCTTTTTAGTGTTACCCAAAGGGTATAAAAACAGAACACTATTGTTGTCAAATATTTAGTTGAAAATTCAATTAAACTATTTTTCATGGGATATGAAAATGAGATGATTTCTTTTTCTTTTTTGTCCCAACATCTAGTAAAACTTCGTTGAGTTGAATCTAAATATATTTTTTATAACTTTCAATATCAAAAAAATGGAGGGCGGTCAAAACTTTTACTTTAAATTACCATCTTAAAATCGAAACTAGTTAAGAATGTGAAATCTTGGTGATGATGTTCCATAATATGCTGTATTTAAACAACAAATACTGAAAACGCGAATTTATAATGTACTTTGTAATTTGTGATGAAAAGAAATGATTTTTCCTGTCGCAGTTTGTAGCTTTGTTTAGCTCTGAGACGAACTATTTCTATTATTCAGTGATATTCATCCATCCATCCATCCATCAGCCTTTCTCCGTCCACTGCTGGACATAGGCCTCCCCCATAGAACGCCACAATGCGCGGTCCTGCGCTATCCGCATCCAGCGGCTCCCAGCACATTTGACGATGTCGTCAGTCCACCTTGTTGGGGGCCGCCCCACGCTGCGTCGTCCGGTACGTGGTCGGCACTCGAGGACCTTTCTTACCCAACGGTTGTCAGATCCTCGAGCGATGTGGCCTGCCCATTGCCACTTCAGCGTGCTAACTCTTCGGGCTATGTCGTACATACCGGTCCTTCTACGGATCTCCGTATTTCGGATCTTATCACGTAGGAAAACACCAAGCATAGCCCCCTCTCCATAGCACGCTGCGCGACTCTGAGTTTTGTTATGAGGCCGACATTCAGAGACCACGTCTCAGTCCCGTAAGTGATATTGGGTAGCTTCAGTAACAGGATGAATATATTTAATTGTGTATTCTCTTTAAAAAAATATTATGATAAATGTGACCTTGTTGGGTTATAGAAGGCCACCTTTCGAAATAAAACTAGAAGGGGTAAAATATTGTATGGTAAACCAATTACGAAGTAGACGAAGTCACGGGCATCAGCTAGAGAAATGATAATAATAATATTTGCAACACTTACACCATTTAGCCTAGCCCCAAAGTAAGCACTGTAGGCTTGTGTTTTAAGATACTAGGGTAACGGATACTAATACATATAAAAGTATATTTTTATATAAAAATACATATACACGACGTCCATGACTGGAGTACAAATGCTCGTATTCATCACACAAACATCTGCCCCCAACGGATTCGAACCTGGGACCTTCCAAGTAGGCGACACCTTGAAACCCGGCGTACAAACCACTCGGCCACGGAGGTCGTCTAATTACTATGCTTTAATGTATAGGTTCTTTAACAAATAGTCTCTTTAAAAATCCAACTTCCATTTAAAATTTCGATTTTTTTCTAGACTAAACGTCTAGAGTTTGTTTGTTTATTTAATAAAAAAACTTTACGTGAGAAGTCTATTAAATTGGTTCGGAAAGGCTAGGAATAAACTTATTTCAATTCACGTTCTCAGCGTGAGAGAGGCGATCCCTCTTATTTCACATCGCATTAAGCTCTGGGGCAAACTCTGGCGTACATTGGAGATGTGTCCGAGCCACAGTTCCAAGGTTAAAACAAGATACATATTTGCTAGATATGTAGATGTAGAAACAGCATTTACTTGCTCAGTGCAATATTTCATATATTAAATGGCAATTTAAGAATACTTCTTCAATATGGAATTTCATACTTTTTTTACGCCGGGTTGCATTGTGTCGCCGACTCGAGAGGTCCCCGGTTTGATTCCGGGTGGGGGCAGGTGTTTGTGTGATGAAAACGAGCATTTGTACTCTAGTCATGGATGTTAAATACGTATTTCTATATAAATATAGTTATATATGTACTGTATATGTATTATAGTAATAAAAGTTATTTGCGGGATTGTTACCATGTAACTTGTTTTTAGCGAGTTTCCGATATTTCGGCACTGTTGCAAGAACACTCCGTGACTTATATTACTATAATGTTAGTGATCATGAAAGTTTATATATGTATTCTATCCATTACCCTAGTATCCCATAACACAAGCCTTACAGTGCTTACTTTGGGGCTAGGCTAATAGGTGTGAGCGTTGGAAATATTGATTTATTTATGTGAAGTACTTTTACGTTTATTAATTATTTTATTATTATATACTTAATGAAGGTATTAGTCTTACTTCAACAGAAATTTCAGAGGTATGGCGAATCATTGCTTTTATATTCAATTGAAAAATATTGCTAAGCATACTATTAAAATTGTAATGAGATATGGTACTTAATTGAATGAGCCTATTATTTGTTATAATTTAATCACATATCTTGGCATAGTATAAAGAAAGTAAAGATGTTCCTGCGGTCTCAATGGATTTTAGTGCGTTCAATGAGATCAGTGATTAATATTCTAATCAAAAGAATTTGATATTAGAAGCGAGATTGGTCTGCTTTGAAAGATTCCGTTAAAAGCCTGGTTGCAATTAAAACGTATTTTGTTTAACTTTTTATGTGAAAACTTCGGTCATTAGTTTATAAAATGTATTTGGGTGGGTACTTACCTAATCGAATCTTGAATTATTACCATTAGGGTATTGTTAATGTATCCATGATTATTAAAATATCTTAGGTTCATTTTGTATTATTGTAGGCACATGACTCAATGCAGGTTAATTTTGAGTACTTCGGAAGGCACTTTAATAAAGCGGTTGGTCCCGGCTGCGTTTGCAATCGTTCGTTAGCACCCACAAATCCGCTAACTTTTCTTGTTTATATAATGTATGAATTTTTAGGTGCAAATTGCACAGTTACATCCAGTACTTACTTGCATTATATCAAACAAAAATTGTCAAATGTTTCCGAGTAAAGATAATATTGAATGGGTACGGGGTCAGTCATCGCGCGCCTACAATGAAGCCACTGTTGCGCTTGGGAATCTGTCTGTCTGCGCGTACGCAACGCAGTGTTGCACGATGCGCTAATGCGCGAGTGTAAACTTTGTGAAGTCAAAATACAAACAAACTAACCTCCATGCTCTTAGTATGCCAATATTCCTCAAACTAATTTATTTTTGATGAGCTCCATGGCGTAAGTGGTTAGCGCCTGCGACTGTGATCGTTGAAGTTAAGCAGTG